TTTTTTTTTTTTTTTTTGCATATTATCACATACGATACTTTAAAAATGTACTTTTATGTCTTAAAACATGTGGCTGTAATTATGATTGCTGGTGATACTGGCATTCTCTCTAAGAAGACTTAATGAAATTAAAATGTTCTCTGGCCCTGGCCAGCGTGGCTCTGTTGGTCGGGTGTTGTGGCACCGAAAGGTTGCTGGTTGACTCCCAGTCGACGCAAGTCCTGGTTTCGGACTCAGTCCCTGGTGGGGATGTGCTGGAGGCAGGCCGTCGATGTTCCGCTCTCACATGATGTTTCTCTCTCCCTCTCCCTTTCTCTCTAAAAAGCAATAAAAATACATATTTTTAAATGTTATTTTGCATGGTGAAAAACTGAATAGGATTTCTGAAAATTTTTAAATCTAAGATACATCATAAAGCTTGATTAGTTAAGAGACATCTATCACTTCCAAATATCAAAAAAAAAAGGGAGGGGGTATGTGGGAGCCAGCAGTTGCATGGAACTTGCACATTTAATAATTTCACGGAATTTCCTATAATTACTTAATGACAAATTGCTTCCCTCCCCCCCCCATACCTGTAAATTAGATGAGGTATAACACCATCCTTAACAGTTCTAAANTAATTTCACGGGATTTCCTATAATTACTTAATGACAAATTGCTTCCCTCCCCCCCCCATACCTGTAAATTAGATGAGGTATAACACCATCCTTAACAGTTCTAAAGGAGTTTCTTGCTTGAAGTAGCTATTACTTGAAGATTGACCGCTGGACTGGTTGATTGATTTTACACATTTCTCCGTCTCCTAGATATTGTAACTGTGTTCCCACCTGGTTCCAGAAATCATCAGAAACCAGAAACCAGACAATGGGGGGAACTTTTTCGGCTCTTTGACTTTCTTTCTCCCCATGGGCTTTAGGGGAGGGCTGACTATGTGCTTGTTTAGATAGTGGCTTCGATTCTCTTGGCCTGTGGCTATGGGAATTAATAAATATGAGTGCAGTAGCTAATACTAAAGAATAGAACATTAATACAGTGAGGGAGGGGGAAGTGCTTTGGGGAAGAATTAGATGGAAACTTTGGGGACTTTTGAAAACTCTTTGTGAGGTTTTATCTAAAACGTTTATAGTTATATCTATACTTAGACAGCATCGCTTACAGACAGCATGTATTTGGGACTCTGAAGAGGTCATTCTGACGGTCTCGGCATTTTAATGTGATAGTAAGTGTTTAGCACGCTTCCATTCAAGGCAATTACTGACATGGTTGAGTTTAATCTACCACTTTACTATATGTTTCGTTTTGGTTCCTCTTTTTTTGTTTTACTTTCTTTTACATTATATAAAAACTTCTAGAATTTTATTTTAATTTGCCTTTGGTTTTCTGTTACTCCTCTGGGCAAGATTTTTAGTGTCTGCTCTATGGATTACTATATGTACCCTTAATCTCTACTGCTTCCTGGTCTTTGAATTTCCTCTGAACTTTGTTCAAATGCCAGAAACAAAGTTTACTTGAGAGAGTTACAGTAAGCTATGTCTTGGTCTTTCTGATTCCATTTGTGCTTAAATTAATTTTATCTAGATTACACTGAAAAATTCCTAAAGGCACTCACTTTCATCTTCAATCTTAGCTTCTTAAATGCAGCCTCTCTCATCCAGTTCCAGCACAAATGGCAATCACTTTGTCCCATTATCAAGTAGAATGGGACGATGCTTAGTCACCCCGGAATGGTGGGCAGGTAATTTCCACACGCCCAAGGCATTCTGTGGGGACCAGGCCAGGGATAAAGGTTTATTCAGATTCAGCACAGAATAGCCAAGCTAGACTAGAATAGGGCAGAACACCCAAGGAGGAGAGAAATGCTATTAAATCAGTGTTATTAGAGCTTGTAGCAAAAATAACTGTAAGAGCTTGTCTTCCTAGAACTTACTGGAACATACCTAAAGATGAAGGTGTAAATGTTTTTAAAATGGGTAATAGACAATTTCTCTTGGAAATACCTTTCTAATACCACTACTAGAAAGGAAAAAAATTCACTCAACTAAAAGTTTAAGCTTACAGACATTCATAGGTGCAAAATTACAATACACACATACAGATGCTCATTAGGAAAGCATTGTGGGGGAGATGGTAGGAAAAAAGAACATTTTTTTTGTAATGACAACAACTAGTAACAACTTAAAGATCTTCGAATAGAAGACTGAAAACTTTTTCTGATGCATAAAACTCAAAAGAAGGAAGATTATGTGCTGCTATGGAAATATGTCCAAAATATATAATTAAGTGAAAAAAAATAAGAACCAGAAGCGTGTATTTGGTGTGTTCATGCATCTATTTGTTGATATTTACGGGATATAGACATAACTGAGTTTTGAGCAGGATTATAAGAAATCGGTAACTGTGGTTTTTGTGGGCTGGTGTGTAAGGGAGGCTTATACTTTCATTTTAGGCCTGTCTGTGCAGATTAGGTTATTACCATGTGTTTTTTTATTTTTAAAAAATAATAATTTTAAAAATCAAAGAATGTGTTACTTGATTCAGAAAGAACCTTGTTTGTTATTTATTTTGGTTGTTATGCTCAATTTATAATCAATTATAATCTCTGTAAGGATATAGAAGAAACAAAATCAGTTGCGTCTGGGAAAGAAAACTGTGTGACTGAGGGATATAGGGGAGAGTTTCAACTATGTCCTTTTGTATTTCTTGAAATTTTATCCATATAAATACATTATTTGGTAAAAAAAATTAAAATATTCCCCCAATGATAAAAAAATAAAATAAGACACAGATCTGAAGTGTGTGTATACTCGGGCCAAGTTTGTCAGTAGTGGGATTTTTCTAGCACGAAGAGACATACCTTAGGTTCCAGGTAGCCTGAGTTTGGATGCGGGCTGTGGGGCAGTAGGCTGAGTGCCGGCTCCTGGCACCTGACAAGTCTTAGAAGTTGGCTTCATAGAGCTGGGAAAACAAGAGCCCCTAACGCACAGGGGCTGGTGGGGACACGGACCCTCCCACAGGGAGGAGGGAGCCCTTGTCCCAGGCCAGATGAGCTCGGCCTCATGGGTCATCCTCCAGACACTTCTGCTTATCTCTTTACACACTTATTTTTTTAAAAGTAGCTTCCTGCAGAAAACTATAAAATCATACCAAAATATAAAATCATACCAAAAAGAAAATAGCCATCTGCTTATTTAAAATAGGGGGCAAAACCAACCTAACAGATCACCTGAAACCAGAGCCGACACTTAAAATTCCTCTCTAAGTTGTTACAGACTGTGCTTGTGAAGTTTGCTAGGAGCTTTTCTTAATCGGCACAGGGCAGCTCTGCCCTAGTGCTTGATTCTTCCTCGCAGCAGAGATGCCGGTCACATCCCCGCCCTACACCTTGTGGTCAACATCAGGCATTAGATTTACTCCTTTGGAAGGAGAAGCCAAGTCTGAAACTTACTCTTATCAATTGCAACACTTGCCAAATGGCACACGTTCTGCTGAACAGGGCAAGTGAGCAACCAGGCCGCCCTGTCGGGGGGTTAACCTAAGCAGACGGCCGGCATGTGGACAGGCTCACCCGGGAACCAGCGCGAGCTGTCCTCTAAGAAGAGGCTGACGCTGGCCAGGGTGCTTAGGTGTTCCAATAGGAAAGGACTACGTGGAAACCACATTTCTTTTATACAGGGAAACTTTATGGATTAATATATATATAGTTATTTAATATCCATATTGAGCAGAGACTATTGACAGGATTGGAACAGACACAATACAGGAGCTCATTAAAAATGTTTGTTCAATATGTATTTTTTTAAGAGTTTTATTTTTTCATTTTTAAAATTGATTTTAGAGAGAGGAAGGGAGAAAGAGAAACATCAGTGTGGGAGAGAAACAGGTATCACACAGGGATCAAACCTGCAACCCGAGCATGTACCCTGATTAGGAATCAAACCCAGCACCCTTCGGTGTATGGGACAATGCTCAGGCCAACTGAGCCACACCGGCCAGAGCTCAATATGTATTTTTAATTCATCATGTTAGTAAAATCGACAAGATTGCTCATGTTCAGTGTTAATGAGGGTGTGGCTGCACAGGTAATCCCCAAATGCTGTTGATAAGAGTATAAATTAGTCAGACTTTGTATTAGTGTGGCTGAAAAAGGAGCCACACACTCAACCTGACAAGCTCAGGGGAGGCCAGCCGGGCAAGTCCTGCAAACTCAGACTCAGAGTTCCTAACGAAAAGCAAGTCAGGGCAGGTCGTCGAGCCCTAGGCCTGTAGCTTCCTTGACAAAGGTCAGTCTTTACCGTAACTGAGTCTGTCTGTTGTCTTTTTGCATCTGAGAAAACATAGTTTGAAATGTCAGAGTCATCTTATTTTCCAGACCCCTCAGGGCACGACCTCAGCACCAGAGCCAGGAGCCCACAGAACCCCTCATTTTTATCTTGCTCCCCACGTGCCATGTCTGTGTGCTATAAATGTTTATTATTAACTGTCCTGTACCCTCCAGTGTAAATGAGTATGTGTCTCTCCATTTTACTCTTTACCCAGTCCCAGAGATTTCCCCGCTTTGCTCTCTCCCGCCTCCCTAATCTACCACCAGTAGATTTCATGTAAACCGCCTCATGTCTCCTTACATCACGATCGAGTGGGACTCATTCCAGGCGCACAAGGGTGGTTCAACACACAAATCGATCAGTGCGATACACCACAGTAACAAAATAAAGCACAAAAACTNCCTCATTCCAGGGGCACAAGGGTGGTTCAACACGCAAATCGATCAGTGCGATACACCACAGTAACAAAATAAAGCACAAAAACTATGATCATATCAAGAGATACAGAAAAGGCATTTCACATGATACAAC